TTCAGAAGCAGGGTGGGATGGGGGGAGATGGGGGGCGGGAGGGACCTGTGGTAGTGGAGGATGGGCGCTGGTGGAGGGATAGGTACTTGATCATTCTATAACTGAAACCCAAGGACAAAAATTTGTAAGTCTATAACTGTACCTCATAGTGTTTCACTAATAAAATAATAATAATAATAATAAAACACAGTAAAATACCTTAAAAAAGAGGAAAGCTTTGTGAAGCCATCCTCTTTCCTCTCTTTTCTTCATAAAGAAACAACTGTGAACTTAACAGACCCATCCCCGCAGTCTTAGACCCTGCTGGCTTTGTCACACTTCCAGGTGAGATTAACCTCCATGCTCACATCCCCAAAGGGTGCTTTGGAATTGAAATTGGGTTCCCTTTCTTTCTAGCATGTTCTGGCATGCCTGCCTCCTGCCATCTCCAGGAGTCCCACGTCCACATTTCACAGCTCTCCTCATAACACATCGCACTGGTGACACTCATATCTCCTGTCACTGGGTGAAGACAAGTGGGAAAAGAAAAGAATAACACCCAGACTAATCCAGTAACAATCCTCAGGGAGACCAGCTACAAAGATTAGCCCGCAGCACAGCAGAAGCACAGAAAACATAAATGGGGGAAAAAAAACTGGTAGAAACCCGTCAAGCTCAATGAGTAAAATAATAACTTGAAAATCTTTCCCAGGAAAATCAACTCTGTAAGCTCAGAGAATGACTTTAATGATCCCAGGTGTTGTTGTTTAATGAGCCCAAAGAAATGATGACAAAGGTAGTCAGCAAAGATTAAACAAAAATATGAAGAGAGGAAATGAGAAAACTGACAGAAATGAGAATAGCAGAATAGCAGCAGCTGAGGAAAATACCAAGTAGCTCCAAGAAGAGATGCAGAAAACCTCTATCAAGCAACAGAAGGTGGAAAGAAGCCTGCAAAGAAATGACCAGTACACCAAAGAACTAAGGGATGAGTTCAAAAGAAACAATAGAAGAATTATCAGAGTTCCTGAAGATTCTGAAGGCAAATTTTATGAAGAATCTCTATATAAATACTAGATGAGGATTTCCCAGAGTTGAGTGAAAATACCAAGATCCAAGCAGCCTGAAGGTCCGAGTGAAAAGTTCACGAGAAACAATTAGAAACATCCAGGATACATTACTATCAGAATGACAAAAACCAAAGACAGAGACAGAGTATTAGGAATAGCAAGATTGAAAAAAAATGGTGTGGGACTTATATACAAAAGAAAGATTTATCAGATAAGACTTTATGGGTCAAAAGTGAATGGTGATATAGTAAAAAAATAAAATAACAGATTAAAACATCAATGACGTGAGCCTCACCAAGAGTGTTCACTATATTATCATCTGGGTTTGAGGGAACGATACAGGTCTTGGACAGGCAAGAGCTTCAATACTTCATAACCTTAAAACCAGGTTTACAAGAAGCATTAGAGGAGTTTCTTTAAAAGACAAGTCAAAACCTCTCAGCACTTGCCCACTGAGTATGGCAATCATTCATGGTGTTTGTGGTTCCCTTCTATTAGATTAAAAAAGGTCTCTTTAGTTCTAACTTGCTACATTGTTTTATATTTTTAAAACAACAAATCAATGCTTCCATCATATTTAAGGTTCTATGTTTATTCAGATCATTTTTTACATCTATACTTTTATTAAAAGCTTTAGCTTATCATTAGAGATACATTTATATAATAATATGTTAACATAAAGTCAATATTCCTCCTTAAGTATAAAATACTTTTAGATGTTTATAGACCTATTCATTTTTCCCTTAAAATTTTCTGAGCTCTTTTCTCAGTCTTACTAAATAGGTGTGGGATGTACCTATTTCATGTAAATTTTGAAATTATTCAGCATAGAATTATTCAAACTATTAATTTCTTAAAAGGTCTATACCTGGAAAAAAGGAAACTATAGCTTTTGGGAAAAGTTTTTTCCAATTGATCATTGATTTATAATTTTGTGGAAGTTTGCTTTATTCATCTATATGTGTGTAGGTGTCACTATCTCCATAACAGATTTTTCAAAAAGTTTTTGCTCATATGAGGGATATAAAGTAACAAAGAAAGGGGACAAGGGGCACAGTGGGTAGGGCGTTTGCCTTGCACACAGCCAACGAGGTTGACACGAGTTCTATTCCTCCGCCCCTCTCAGAGAGCCCAGCAATCTACCGAGAGAATCTCGCCCACACGGCAAAGCCTGGCAACTTACCCATTAAGTAATCGATATGCCAAACTCAGTAACAAGTCTCATGATGGAGACATTACTGGACCCACTTGAGCAAATCGATGAACAGTGGGAGAACAGTGCTACAGTGCTACAGTGCTTTTTGGGTCACACCAGCATTGCACTGGGGTTACTCCTGGCTCTGCACTCAGAAATTACACCTAGAGGTGCTCAGGGGCCCCTATGGGATGCTGGAAATTGAACCTGGGTTGACCATGTGCAAGGCAAACGCCCTACCCTCTGTGCTATCACTCCAGCCCTGGAACAAAGCTTTTGTCTATTGAATTTAGCTTACGTGGGAGGGAGATGGTATGGAGGGGGACTTTTGAACACTGGTAGAAGAAAACAGGTAGAAGAAAACAGGCAAATAGATGGTAAGTGTGCTGTTTGAATAATGTACAGATGAAAAATATAATTAATGGTATGCAAATCCTGATCACTGTATCACTGTTACTATCATCCCATTGTTTGGCGATTTACTCGAGCGGGTGCCAGAAATGTCTCTATTCCTCCAAACCCTGAGATTTTAGCAGCTTCTTCTTACTTGTCTTTTCCCAACAATTGGAGGCTCTTTCAGGGTCAGGGGAATGAGACCTGTTGTCGTTACTGGTTTTGGCATATCGAATATGCCATGGGGAGCTTTCCAGGCTCTGCCTGTGCAAGTGCAATACTCTCCATAGCTTGCTGGGCTCTCCGAGAGGCATATATTTATATATTTCTCTCCATGATTTGTTGCCTACTGTCTGAGCCCCATCAAATATGGTGTGGTAATTATGCAAAAAGTGTAGGAAGTGTCTTACGATGTGTCACAAAGCAGTTGCACAGTCCAGAAAGTGTCCTGGAGTGTGGTGGCAGCTGGGTAGTAGAGGTTGACTGCTGGGGCTGGGTCCCTTGGGGTGGGTAGGGCTCTCACTCACCCTACTCTGGGGCACCCTGAGTGAAAACAGCCTGGCACAGAGTCTAGTGGCATGGTTATGGGGGCCTCATTTAATATTCCCGTCTGGGAGGAGCAGCTGTGAGTTCTGGAGGGTGACCAATGAGGAGATTATCTTGTGCTGGCAGGGTGTGGCTTTGGGTATGATCCCTGAGTCATCAGAGACTAGGAGAAGCAGCCAGAGGATCTCTGTTCTTGGGTCCCCATTGAGTCCAGAGCCCAAGGTCACAAAGTTCCTGCATTATCTGGGTTCCCTGGAACTTCATTCATACGTGAGGCTCGGTCTGAGCATCCAGAAAGTGGCCTGGAGCATGGCAGTGGTTGGGTAGTGGAGGTCAGCTGCTGGGGCTGGGTCATTTGGGACGGGGAGGGCTCTCACCCACCCCACTCTAGGACGCCTCAAGTTAAAACAGCCTGGTGTGGAGTCCTTATACTTGAATAAAAATGTTTATTTACAAAGAGAGAAACCCTATTTTTCATAAATATCTTCTTGCATAGTCTACTACTTTTCCCTTAGTAACACTTCAAAATCAACTTTCCCCTCCAAAACAAATTTCATCGTAGTATTTTAATCCCAAACCCCCTAGTTTAGTATAGTTTTTGTTTTTGTTTTGTATTTGGGTCACACCCAGCAGTGTTCAGGGCTTACTCCTGGCTCTGCTCTCAGATATCATGCCTGGCAGATTTGGGAGATCATATTTGATATCAGGGATTGAACCTTGGTTGGGTCAGTCACATGCAAAGCAAGCACACTACCCACTTTACTATCATTCCTGCTCCTTTGCTAAGTCTCATTGTATTTATTTTTTCTTTTGATTTGTATACTATTTTTTAAGCTTTTAAAAATTGATTAGGCTCTGTGATTTAAAAGAGCATGGCATATATATGAGCTAACTTCGATCCCCTTTCTATTCTACTTTTCTATATACCTTATAACTCAGCTACACTAAATATACACTGATAAATGTCCCCATTAGATTTTGATATGCATACACAGTTATTCTTCCTGAAAGCCTACGTTTCCTCATAAAAATATTTGCACATTTATTATATTCTTGATAATTTTTTTCTTCCTAAAGTCAACTCTATTCCATCAAATATATCTCTGCTTTCTCTGAGAATCACATACATTACTTTCACATATATTACTTTATCCTTTGTGTTAGAAGCCAGGTTTTATTTTCCATGAATATTTATTTTCTTTCTTTTCTTCTTCCTTCTTTCTCTCCTTTCTTTCCTCTTTTCTTTCTTTCCCTCCCTCCTTCCCTCCCTTGCTCCTTCTCCCTCTCTCTTTTTTCTCCTTCCTTCCTTCCTTCCTTCCTTCCTTCCTTCCTTCCTTCCTTCCTTCCTTCCCTCCCTCCCTCCCTCCCTCCCTCCCTCCCTCCCTCCCTCCTTCCTTCCTTCCTTCCTTCCTTCCTTCCTTCCTTCCTTCCTTCCCTCCTTCCTTCCCTCCTTCCTTCCCTCCTTCCTTCCTTCCCTCCTTCCTTCCTTCCTTCCTTCCTTCCTTCCTTCCTTCCCTCCCTCCTTCCTTCCTTCCTTCCTTCCTTCCTTCCTTCCTTCCTTCCTTCCCTCCTTCCTTCCCTCCTTCCCTCCTTCCCTCCTTCCCTCCCTCCCTCCCTCCCCCTTCCTTCCCTCCCTCCCTCCCTCCCTCCCCCTTCCTTCCTTCCTTCCTTCCTTCCTTCCTTCCTTCCTTTCTTCCTTCCTTCCATCCTTTCTTCCTTTCTTTTTTCTTCTTTCTTCCTTTCCATTTTTCCTTCTCTCTTTCTATTCTTCCTATTTATCTCTCTTTTCTTTCTTTTATTTTCTTTTTATTTTGCTTTTATGCCACACTCAGCTGTGATGAGGGACCTGTTATCCCTCCAGCTTGAGGAATGACTTCTTCAATGTTCATGTTCTTAAGAACAAAATCTTGAGTACTTTGAGTCTGTAATGAGTACACATCAAACAGTGGAGAAATTAATAAGTAAATAAGCAGTCTTAATAATATCAATCAATACATGTTATTTTGGGCTGGAGTGATAGCACTGCGGGTAGGGCATTTGCCTTGCAAGCGGCCAACATGGCCGACCTGAGTTCGATTCCTTCACCCCTCTCGGAGAGCCCGGCAAGCTACCGAGAGTATCTCGCCCGCACGGCAGAGCCTGGCAAGCTACCCGTGATGTATTCGATATGCCAAACACAGTAACAACAAGTCTCACGATGGAGACGTTACTGGGTCCGCTCGAGCAAATCGATGAACAACGGGAAGACAGTGACATGTTATTTTGTTCTTTTTAATGTCATTTTATCCTCTAAATCTATAAGAATAATTGGTTTATATGTTTCATCTGTTTGGCAGTCTATTTCGTTTATATATAGAAGAATCTCTTGAAGGCTTAAGAGAAGATCCTAGTTTTTGGTATTTTGTACCTGAATAATGATGTTCTATAGTTTCAATATTTGTCCTTTATAAAAGAGCAAAGCATTTTTTCTCTTGAAGATTCAATATCAGGGAACGATTTCAAATAAGATTGAACTTGTCTTTGATAGTTCATTTCTGAAATAGGAATGTTAAGTAGCAATGTCCAGTCTGTGGGTCTTTTGGTGTGGAATCTTGTTAAATTACCAATGAAACATTAACAGGATGAGATGAATTTATTTATGCCTCTCAAATTGCTTGGAAAACCTCAAGGTTGAAGTATCACTCTTGCTTGCAGTATCTATTGTGAGAGACATTTCTTCCTCCTCTCTGCTAGTCTAAAAACTACGGTATGCAGTGTTTTCTTACATGGTGTCCTTCTTCAGGAAAAGCTTAAAACACTTTCACAGAAGACAAAAATAATTTCCAGCTACTTTCTTTAGGAGACCTGACAAGGCACACCCAAGGACATAGCACTTATGAGTTGTTGTTTTATGGTGATGGTTTTATTTTACCATTTCTGTCACATAGACAAAAAATTGCTTTTTATCAAAAAAGACTGAAACTGATAACATGGGAGAAAGGAATTAATTACAGGATTAGAGTGATAAAAAATCTGGGGATTTGTCTAAAATCATTTTGATATTTCTATTCAGTATTTTATGTTTGAGTCTTAAAATTAATCACTAGAATGTTGAACATTTTCCTATAAAATGTGTGGCCTAGCATGGAGGAGTCATGCCACTGCTCTATGCTGACCAACTCACTCTAAATCAGAGCTCCCTTTCCCAGGAATAAACTCCTAGGTCACTCTGCGGCCATCTATGATATCATTGTATTGGTGTGTGATCAAAATGTTCTTCTGATATGCCTCATACAGGTGTGTATCTGGGGATCACTCATACTTAGATTTATGTCCGTAAAAAAATTTTTGCAGGATAGAGCAATAGTAAAGCAGGTAGGGTGCTTGCCTCACACATGGCTGACCCAAATTTGATCCAGCATCCCATATGGTGCCACTAGCACCACCAGCAGTAATTGATGATTACTGAACCAGGAGTAAACCCAAGCACCACTGGATGTGCCCCCCAAATTATATATATAGTAGCACTGTCCTCCCATTGTTCATCAATTTGCTTAAGTGGGCGCCAGTAAGGTCTCCATTGTGAGACTTGTTGTTACTGTTTCTGACATACCAAATACACCACGGGGAGCTTGCCAGGCTCTGCCATGCGGGTGGGATACTCTTGGTAGCTTGTTGGGCTCTCCAAGAGAGACAGAGGAATCAAACCCGGTTGGCTGCATGCAAGGCAAACACCCTACCCACTGTGCATATATATATATGTATATATATATATGTATATATGTATATTTTTGCGTATACACACTTATACACATCAAGTACATCAAGTGAAAAATATGAAAAAGATTAGTAGGTGCATGGAATATAAAAAGTATAACAGCATAGAACACTTTTGCTTTGGAGCGATAGCACAGTGGTAGGGCATTTGCCTTGCACGCAGCCAGCCTGGCCGAGTCAGGTTTGATTCCTCCGCCCCTCTCAGAGAGCCTGGAAAGCTGCTGAGAGTATCTTGCCCACATGGCAAAGCCTGGCAAGCTACCCGTGACGTATTCAATATGCCAAACACAGTAACAAGAAGTCTCAAAATGGAGATGTTACTGGGCCCGCTCAAGCAAATCGATGAACAACGGGAGGACCCATTAAAGGAACCACTTATCTTTTGCACTCATCATTGTATTAAAGCAAGAAAAAGATGTCAGAGGGTTGTATTGTTTATTGATTTCTGTCATCCCCAGTCCACTAGTTAATGCCAGCTGTCAATAATTTAGTAGATTTTACTCCCCTGAGCACAGACTGAGAGGCAGCAACAAATAGCCTTTTTCAAGCACACTAAGCTGAACAAAATCCTCAGCCAGGCAGAGTACTGTCCTATTGATAAAGCATCTTTCAGAGTCTGTGATTGTTTCAAAGCACAGAAAGGATTACAGGATCAAAAAGGACTATCAGCGTCCAGGAAAACAGTCTAGGATATCAACTCTTAGGTGCACCCTTCAGTGCAGCTAGACCTGCACAATGGCGTCTCAGTCAAGTTAGGCTATGTTGGAGTAACTGTTTCCTTCCTTATCATGTAAGCCAGGTGTCACTGCTATTGGGTCTGAGTAGGATAGGGAATTTAAAGGATGAAAACTGAGACTAGAATGAAGAGATATAAAATTCCTGAATGTAAGTCTGGATGCTTGGGGAAAAACTATTTTATCCCACTATGTAAATTATTGTTATACCTGCAGCATACCCTTTGGAGTTTGATTGCCTAAATTGATAGACTGATTATATTTCCTTGCTTTTGGCAAATTATTTGACTTTGGCCTTAATTTTCTCAAACTTATGTAAGAATCATAATTATAGTTAACCCATTAAAATGTTTTAAGCTAAGTAATAACTATGAAGTGTTTAGAATAGTACTTCATAAACACTGTATACTCAGTAAATGCTATTCTTGTAGCAAATTGCTTACCTCTTTAAGCAATAATTTGGTTTTTGAATTTACTTATCTAATAGTTTCTAAAATAGCTTTGCTATACTTTCTTCCCATCAAGAATTCCTATGATTCTGAAGGCTCCCTTTTTATACATTTTTGTCCCTAGGGATCCCTGAGGTTTAAAGTTATATGTATCTTTTTAAAAAAGCAATCAATATCCATTATAGATAGCTCAAAATTGCAGCTTTTTCCTGAAGAAAGATGTTAATGGAGCCTGTCAAGACCGCAAGACAACCACTTCCCTGCATAAACCACTCTTGAGTTTCCTAAAAGCATGGCCTTCAGTTAGAGGGTGATCAGGAAGCTTCCAATCAGCTCAGGAGTCTAATCAATATTTCTCACTCCTTGGTGATGATTAGTAGAAGGTCATCAATTGTCATCAATGGTCCGCCACACAGTCTGTGCTTTTCTTGACATTTACTATCCATTATCTATCCCTGGGGAAAAAGGGTTCTCGGGTTTCCATGGCAGCAGGGCTAATTTACTGACTTCTATAAACCAAATATTGATAATGCAAAACTGAAAAAGCAAACTAAAATAAGGCACTCAGAGTCATTTTCAGGATACCAGGTTATTTCAAGCTATTGAGAGATCACCTTTAGAAGACATTTAGAACTGATAGTAAATAATATATTTTGGTCTCAATTTAAATCTCCATTCACATATTCCTGGGTCAGCAGGGTTTTTTCTTTGTTAGGGGCCCCTCTATGTACCTCAATGCAACCATCAGAGAATTGGGGACTTGACAATTATGCCCCAGAATTGCATATTTTTACCACAAGTAAGAGTTTAGCATATGTCTTAGTATGTCCATTTAAAATCTAGATTTTGAAGGTCTAGGAATGTCTGACAAAAGGATAAATTCATCTGCAAGATTTCTGCTTATAGATTTAGTTTGCTATGTGGCCACCTAGTGCTCATTCCAGAAACTCCACAGATGTGCTGATGGGTTAGATAAAGACATGCCGCACATTTGAAAACTTAATAAAGACGTCATTAGCTTTCTTTAGATTCATTGCATTCATTGCATTACATAGTTATATGGCCAAACAATGTTTTGGGAAAGGGAAAGTACCTTTGTGAAATTGCTTGTTTGCAAATAATCTGTATTACTGAGAACATTGATTTGTTGTTCTCTTTTGTATCACGTTCACTGCATTTGGGCAGAATTGATGTAGGACTGTATTGGAGATTTCTTGCAATGGAAGCATGTAGACCATGTACTATTACAACTGGAGACTGGTGTATTTGAGTGGTTATAATGTAACTTGCCTAAACTTAAGTTGCAAATTCTATGGTCCAGCATCCAGAAACTGCAGTCTATTGTCACATGCCCTCCCTTGTCTAGTGCTGATTTCTCAGCTGAAGGGTCTATTTTTTTTTACATTTTTAAAAAATTTTTATTAGTTAAACACCATGAGGTACAGTTGTAGACTTACAAATTTTTGTGCTTGGATTTCGATTATACAATGATCAAATACCCTTCCCTCCACCAGTGCTCATTTTCCACCACCATGGATCCCAGTATCCCTCCCACCCCCAGCCCCCTCACCCCACCCTGCCTCTGTGGCAGGGCATTCTCTTTTGTTTTCTCTCTTCTTTTGGGTGTTGTGGTCTGCAAAAGAGGCATTGAGTGGCAATCATGTTCGGTTCATAGTCTACTTTCAACATGCATATCCCATCCTGGGAGGATCCTCCAAACACCCTTTATTTGGTGCTCCATTCTCTATCTGAGCAGCCCTTCCCCCTAGCATGCCTGGATGGCCTCTAAGCCATGGAGTAATCCTCCTGGTACTGATCTCAACTATTCTTGGGTATTAATCTCCTATTTTGTTACTTTATGTCCGAGAGGTCTATTTTTAATCATTATTCTTATATTTTCTACTGTTGTACATTTTTAAATATTGTATTATTGTTTTTGTGTGTGTGTGAATGTGTGTTTCTCAGGGTCTACATCATTCACTA